ACATGTTTAGTGTTTCAGCACAAACCTAATTTTTAGTTAAATACCATAGTTAACTTATTTAGTGTTATATATGTTTTTTTGATCTAATATTCATATATGCACTAACGATAGTATATTGAGAAATTTTTAAAAATGTCACTTTTCAAAAATACCATTTTTTAAAAATTTTTGTAAAAATACCACTTTTTCAACAAAAAAAAATTCATTATATTTTATGTTGTATTACGGTTTAGTTTTGAGGGTTTAAGAGGTTTTAGAGGTCAAATAAAAACAAGAGATATCTCTCTGTTGAGCGGCGATTTCAACGAAGCCCGAGTAAAACCTAATTTGCTTTCACCGCCGGCGTTGGCCCTGGCATCCGGCTCCACTCTTATAGCCAAGAAAATGTCAACCCCCTTGAACCTTTCTCCTAGGAAATCTACTCCACCATTTCTGCCTCGTTCAATCCTGTTTGTGAGGTGGGTCTTGCTCCCCCCTCCCGAGCCGCCGCCGCTGCTCGAGTGTCCTTTAGATCTGGTAGAAACAGATCAAACTTTCATCGGTTACCCCGACGAGACAATTCTAGGCCTTCTCGGCCTTGGTAATCTGCGATCCTCTGCCGTTTTCCATGGATTCCGATGAGTCCTCTATATGCGTGGTCCTTAGTTTCGGGCAAACGACCCAGTCGCCGGTGAAGTCTTCTGATATGCAACAGATGCTGCGTCGTTTTCAAACCCTAGATCCGAGCTTAGACGCTTCGATAAAACTCTTCATCGAAGCCGGTGACTGCTCCTTAATTAAAGCTCCCAGTGGCTGCTCTTCAAACTCTCCGTCGTGGTTCGCCGACCAGCCAACACGGCGGCTCCTCCTCAGTAACCCCAGCCCCCGAAAACCCTACAGCTCTCTCAACTTCGATCAATTATGGTCTGGCCCAGGATGAGGTTTGGGCCTCCAAGCCAAATAAGGCCTAGCCCAGCAAGCCCCAAGCTTTTACAAAGATGGGTCAGGTCTCTGATCTGTTAAATACTCTTCCGGATCGGGGTTGTCCCCCACAACCGTCCTCCTCCACCCTCAAGTGGTCCCCTCCATATGCTCGAATCTCACCCTCGCTGCTAGCCTTGGCTCCGGTGAGATATCAAAAGGTAAAGCTTCTCCTATGACCGCCCTCTCCGAGTTTCACCGTACAAGTGACGGGTCGAGATTCAGTTTCCGGTGTGTCTCCTTCCGGAATTTTTTTTGGTGACGTTCTTACAAGCAATACACTGGTTCGTGTCAACGATATACATTCGGGAGTGTACTGTCTTCAACATCTCCGGGTGAGTTTTAACTCGTGCTCATACTCTCCTTCAACCTTAACTTTGGATGTGTATGCCACTTTGTTAGGACTATTACCGGAACCGGGTTCACACTCTCTATCGATTTTATTTTTGGATGTATGTGATACCATATTGGGTTTATTAACGGAATTGTGTTCATACTCCCTATTGATCCTTATGTTTGGGTGTGTATGACACCATTTTGGATAGCTTTTGGAAGTTCTCTCTCGATAGTTGCTCTGCTATCTGCTAGTCGTGTGTTTTTTGGTGATAAATTTCAGATTTATCACTTGTTGGAGGCTCCGATTATTACTTCCCTTCATTCCTTTGAGCCCAACTTCATCTTTCATGGCTCCCTGACTTGTTTACCGTCGTCGTGGTGCGCGGTCTACTACGGGAGTGGAAGAACTTTATACAGATGACTCGCTCTCTGTACTCTTTAAAGGCTCAACACTTATAATTCCAGCCGATTTCAAGATTGTTAATCCCGCACTAGATGCAGTATCAATCAAGGGTGTTAGTTCACAGGTTGTGTTCTTAATCTCCCCATGTGTCATTCCACTGCTTAGGCCCAATGTTATCGAGATTGGACTTCTCTACGATGTTTGATGTTTAAGTATAATGACTACTTCTATTTTATGTTGTGTGAGTTTCGCTTGTCTTTTGTAGCAGCGATTGTAGTAGGTTTGATGACTTTAGTATCATCCATTCTTCATTTAGTGGAGAGTAAACATTAATATAACTATCTTTGTTTGACAAAAAAAAAAGGTTTTAAATGTCAAAATATTTTTAAAGGTTTATAATTTTAACATTTAAGTTTTAAAAATCCATAATTAGTGATATTTTAATAAATGTATCGAATATAATGATTAAAATCGTCCAATTGAACTTTTGATGTTATGGAAAAGCCGTTAGTAGGTATGAAGTAGGGAGCGGAGCGACGTGCCCTTTTCAATACGAAATGTTTCACAAAAGGGCCAACCATATCAAAATGTCTTTGGTTTATTTTTCTCCAACACTTCATTTTGCTGCATTTAAAACCTACACAATAGTACTCCAAATCATCAAAGTAATAAATTTTAGTCAAATGTTTCGAATCTTTTGTTCAAGCTTTTTGAAGGAGTGTATTCAACCAAAAACTTGAAATGATCT